TACAAGGCACTGGAATTACTCTTGGCACTGTAGTATGTCGGTGTTTTAAAGACGAAATCATAACCTTTCTGATATATTCTGAAAGTTCTTGAAATATCTTGGGAACGGGAAATGTATTTATCCTTGTAATTCGATAATCGAGTGCAAAAACAGAAAACTTCGGTGAAAAAAACGTTATCCCACGTGAAAGAGATTTGCCACTTAAAATACTGTTTTAAACTATATTTGTAATTTTTAAAAGTATTTATTTACTTATTTATCTGCACCCTTTATCTGTTCCATGATGGGAAAAAAATGTGTCCGCTCTGACCACGATGAGTTTCGCAGTGTCCGCTGTAACCACTGTCCGCTCTGGCCACGTCCGCTCTGGCCACGTAACCAACTATACAGTGCGATATCATCGTTAAATTACTTGGCATTTTTTCCTTCTGTTGAATAATTGTTTATGTCATTTAAAATGATACATATGTCTAATTACGGCTCTTGGTGAAGCTACTTGCGACTCTTCAGTTTTCCTAAATTCTGACATGTGGCTACTCATAACATAAAGTGTGGCCACCCCTGGTATAAACTTATCGCTAAATAGAAGCCTCAGTTGTTCATTCCCGATCCAAGAACTGAAAGCGATAAATCGCCAGCTCGGAGCCAAGACCTCGTGTGACAAGTCTGGTAAAGTGGGCTCAGGCTCATCGCCTATCCCGCTGAGATGTGACAAATAAGCTGGAACGGCTGTCTAGCCAAATAGCAGAAAGAGGTTATTGATGACCCAGCGGGGTATCCACGATGGTCCGATCGACAGGGGTAAACAAATAATAAGCGATAAAAAAAGAAAAAATCTGAACGATTTGCAACCTTGCCTTGTCATTCTCCATCTTGTGTCGAGTGGTACATGTTCGTTCACCGACTCCTACTCATTGGTTTACTCGGACAGATACGGAAGAAAATTACATTCCACAAAGAAAGAACGTGCATAAAAAATAATTTGGTTATGCATTTGACGGATGCAGAGGCCATTTGAGAACGTATCTATCACAAAATAAAGATAAACTTGCATTCTTGCCAATGTGAAAAACCTGAGTGAATCAAATTTTATGGCAGATAAATATTAAAAACATATAGGCATAGGAATCCTCATACTCCTTTGCTATCACCATGCACATTTAATATTTTTAAATTTTGCATCGTAAGTGCGCATTATGAATGTGAACACAATTTACAACACTCATTAATTTCATACTTGTGGATGTAACGTTCTACATACAGTCACGGTTACACTGTAAAGATCTTATTTTATTCTAACCAATTATTTTTAATTTTAGAAACTATCCTTTCTCTTCTGGTTTCAGTTTCCTGCCAGAATGCAAATTTTAATGAAGTAGTATGCAAATATAAGTGAGTTTGGAATCAATATTTGAGCAACGGTTTCAAGAGTTCGAGTGAAGAGTTAGTTCCGAATTTAGGCCGCGTGTTTGAAGTAGCTAATTTTCCACATAAATATTAAAAATTCATGAAAGAATTTTTTTCTAATCGAAGTCTAAATTATTCAATAACAACAGCAATAACAACAATAATAATAATAAGGAAAATGCATATATTTTTGAAATGTGCCTAATTTTTAACAAAACTTTTACTTCTTTTAATCAAAAATAATAATTGAAAAATCTACGCTAATTTTTGTAATTCCTTCTGTGCTTATATAAAACATACACAAATGTACAAACCACCCATTCGCAATTCAGTGTTTTGAAGTAAGAAAACTGATCACAATGTAATGCGGAAGTAGTGATAAGGTATAGATAATCTACTGCAAAATAGCGATACTGCCATTCTACAGTTTAATGCCTTTTCTTAACTAGTAATTTGTTTTCAAATGTAATATTTGCTTTATGATTTCAAATTCAAGAGAAACACGTCCACTTGCGCAGTAAAATACGTACGATTCAACCTCAGGCCAGTGTTCATTTTAGAGCAATGCTCCATGAATTTCAAGAGAAAACAATACAAGTCTTTTCTCTTCGAGAAACAAACGAACTCCGTTTTTGTTCACCCAGATTTTGAAATAATTGTAATAAATAAAAACTCATTTTTCAATCATAATTGCAAACCTATTAGGTGACAGCACAGCTGGGAAAAGGACGAGGCAAGTGAGGAATGAACCTTGTAGAGACATTAGGATTCTGAAGTAGGAGACGGGAAAAATGTGCAATGCCCTCCCCGGGATTCGAATCCGGATCTCTCGAATACGTGCCGAGTGTGATACCGTTATACAACGAACGCTGATGGAAAATGGGAGAAAATGTATTATAATCTCAGGCGAACGGCTAAAAGGGGGCCAAATTAGCTGCCAAATTTTGGAAACATCTTTACAAAATAAATTGTGATTGTTAATTTTCAATTCTAAAACGTACTGAGAAGCAACAGTTTGAAATAACACAATTAAAGCAATAAAAAGAGGGTTATATTCTTCAGCACACCCACACTCGCATGGTTTTTTTTATCATTTAATCAAGCAAAATAGAAAAAAAATATTAACTGTTTAAAGCGCGAAGAGATATCAATGATTTATTTTAAGTCATTTTGTAGAGTTCTTAGGTAATTTTTGAAAGCAGATGTGAAAAATGAGCAACGCCCTCGCCGGGAATCGAACCTCGGACCTCTGAAATACGCGCCCAACGTGCTGACCACTACTTTATGAAGGCATGCTAAGAAGACAGGATAAATACCTTACATACTCCCCCTTTTAAAGGGCGACTGGGGTTTAGGGGACCCATTTGCCAAATCCTGAGTGTGGAGCATCATTATCCACCACTATTTTAGTTCGGGCGCCACTGTAGTGTCATTAGGTTATTTTTAAAGCAGGAGTCATGAAAAATGAGCAACACGCCCAGCGTGCAGACCACTACACTACGAAAGCGAGAGAAATACCTTATAATTTTAGCTCGTTATTATTGCTTTATATATATACAAAGTTCAAATTTATATAAGGCATCAAAAGGTAACATATTGTAATGTGTTGAAACTAATAACCTTTTTAAGGAAATAACTTTAAAATTTCACATATATCTTTTTGTACTGGCTGTAATTTAGTACTGTCTGGGGAAATAGTAAAACAAAGCCTTGCAGTCAAATATTTTAACAATATAAAAATTGCACGTTTAACAGAGCGATTGACCTAATATCGAATACCGGCAGCAAGGGTGTTTTTGTGGTTCCCCTCTCACACTTTGTTTCTTCTGTGGTTTTTTTTTTTTTTTTTTTTTTTTTTTTTTTGTTATACGTAAATACTAACTAGTTTTCCCTAGAAAGGTCTTCCATGAAGTTATTCCTCTCCTTAAAAATAGTACTAGCATGCTTTGCATATTATACTAAACAACCAAACATAATAGAAGGACTGTCTCTTTCTTTGCAGAAAATGAGAGAAATTATTCTTAAGAAATGTGAAGATTTAGCTTTAAAAATGAATGTATTAACAGAACATGACATGAAGTGAAACGTAAGATTAATAAATCAGATTTTCATGAAATAATTGATAAAGAAATAAATTTATCAGAAAACAATTTTTTTTTTTCGTAGCAGAAATGAAAACAATTCAAATGGAGATATCAAAAACCAAACGAGATAGCTTTTCATTTTCATTTTCAAAATCGATGAAAAATTAATACCGCTGAATTTAAGCATTTTAAAAAGGAGTGCCTTTTAGCTTAGCACTTAAATATTCAAATGATATCAAAGCTTCCGATATGTCATTAGGAATGTCTAGTTTTAAAAACTGCACTTTTTCAATAATTCTGACCACTAAAGCAAAATCAGGTCTTTAAAGGAATGCAGTTTAGTCTGAATTCCGAAATTACCTTAAGAAAATTTTCATTCTCGGCAGTTAAAGAAGCTTCAGACAACTTGAAAAAAAAATCAAATTATGCAAAATTTTCGCTTTTTAACTTGTTTTTAAATAAACATGTAAATACAATTGCTAATTAAAGTTGCTTTTTGAAATTATAATTCTTAATAGTAACAATTTCGCTAGCTGAAACTACTTTCCTGGAAATTAAAACAGAATTTTTTATTCATAAGCAAAGAATTCAAATTCTTTTTGCACGAAGGTAAATGCATCTTTTGAATTAATAAAATGGGAAATTTATTACTAAGATTTCTCAAAGAAAAATATGATGTCATGGTTGACTGATGTTTATTATCTTTTCCCCTCATTTTATTGTATTTACTTTAAATTTATTTTATAAAGACTTAATAAATAATTACGTTAATTAGTTCATTAGAATTTAATAATGAGATGGAACAATTTAATAAATATAGAGTGACTGATACGAATGAATTTTGATATGTGTCTTTAAGAAATACTAATATTTTGATTTTTCATATGAAAACTTTATTTAAAACAATTAGATTGCAGTATTTTAAGGATTCTGTGCAACACAGATATTATTTCATTATACAGAGATAAGTCCAAATGTTATTGACCAACTTAAGCATATACTGGTCGAAGTATGAGAATTTTCGAACGAAACACCATGGTCTTTTAAGTAATCCTGAATCAGTAAGAGCTTTAGAATGTTAAGGAACCACCTATGAGAACATAAACTGGATTGGTTGATTATTGATTATAAAATATCAGTTATAGTACATTTGCATAACATTTATATGTTTATTATTTTGTGCACGATTGTCATTGTTAATTGAAAGCTGCATTCAACTTATACTGTCACCAGTATCTCTTCACTTAGTATTATACCCCCCCCCGCATTTTAGTTCTTTAGATTCAACGGGACACACACTTCAAAGATCCAAACCGTTCTTTAGATTCATTTGAAATATACGGCATATGCTAAATACGACGCATTTTGTTTAAAAGTTGTTATAGTCTAACTCCTCTGTATTGAAATGGGGAATATCTTTGGTCACGCCGTGTACGTTTCGATAGTGTTTCGGTACATTTTTCTTCGTTTGTTATTAAGAAACAGATTTCTTTTTTAAAAGGAACTCACCATAAATTTCTTGTGGCACAAGTCATTCAGCTTCTGGAGGCTAGCTTCCATCTCATTCTCATCAGTTGCCAGTGACACCAAAGAAATCTAAAGAACACAAAGAGAAATGTGATTCATAACCAGTTCTTTGCATATGTTTTACTACATATGACAACCTAACGTACAAACTGGACTCCATTATTAAAAAAGCTCTGTATATATATATATATATATACTATATGTTTTCGCACTAAATGAATTTAAGATTATATATATTATATATATATATGTATGTATTATGGTGATGTAACGTATTTTTTGGAGTATAACTAGAAAGGTATATGCGGTCCGGATATATACATAAAATTCGAGTCCGTCATACTAAAATTTTGTGAAGTTCCCCCCCCCCTCCTTTCTTTTCGGTTCTATAAAGTCCTAGCTAATACTTCTCCGCACATTTATCCCACTCTTTGCAAGGCGAATTACCGTAGTCAGATTAAGCAAGTAGTTAAATAGACATGTAAGAAGTACCTGAAATATTTATTAGTAACCACTAGCCTATGATTACACAACGGGAAGAACTAATGACAACTTAAAAGACATGCGGTTCTTACAATTTGACATGCACCACCATTTATAACTTTATTAACATTAGTTAACAGTTTTTTGCAATTTAATGACTCTTAATTGCCTACCTCTGAAAAAAAGTGTAATTGAACAAAATTTTGTCGTATGTCGTTGACAACAGCCTTGAGCATCATACAGGTAGGTGACAGTACGATTTACTAGTTCCAGCCCTAATTTTGATGGAGCGCAACCCGGGGGGGACGGGTCCGAGGGTCTCCCACCCCTCTTTCCCTACCAAAAGCTCTCGAGAGGACTTTCGGCTCGCCGAATATTTAGTGTTCCCATGCCGCACAGACACTCTAAATTTACAAACATCTATTCCTTCTTCTGGATTCGAACCCGGCCCCTTAGGTAGCGCAGTAGGCTTCCCTAACCGCTATATCGTTTGGACGGCTGTTTGTAGATGTTCATGAACATGGCCCATATATCCGAATTTTCACTTTAAGCGTATAAAGTATTTCTCCCGCCTTCCAAGCGTGCCTTCGTGGAGTGGTGATCTGCACGCTGGGCCGGTATTCCAGAGGTCCGTAGTTCGATTCCCGGCGAAGGCGTTGCTAATTTTTCGTCTTTACTGCTTCCCAAAAAATACCTAATATCTCTACAAGCCTTACATCTTTTTGTTAACTTAAAAGAAATATTATGCATATCTAGGGATCTGTGAAACTTTCGAAGGAAATATTGAGCAAAATTTTTCTGAAAATAAATTAATTAATTGGATAAATTCATTACGAATTTGAACAGTGTTCTCAAATTGTATAACTATATTTGTGGATCTGTAGGATTTCACCATATTAATCATAGGCGAAGTTTTCGCAATGCATCTTAAGCATAATGTCAACTCCAACAGTAAATTAATCCGCCACTTCTGATGCAAGGTACTAAGACGTCGTATCAAAAGCTTTCTAATTGCAATAATTCTGACGGCTCAGGCTATTTTTACATATATATTACGTACATATACTTGTGGATTAGAAATGAAAACCCTGAGGACAGAGGATAATAAAACTCAAACAGTTACTCAACCTTAAAATACATCTTTACAATCTACTATTTCACTTACATTCATATATTTTACTATACGAAGCGCAGAATTGTTGAATATAACTGCTGTTAATTATCTTGCATAATGTATTGCTTCCTTAAAAGTGTCCCTGTTATTTCTGAATTTTTATCACAATTGCGATTTTTACTTAAAAAACAAAAATAAACACAAATTTATCAAAATAATGATTTTTTTAAAAAAACCGTTTACAGTTTTTCGATCATTTCGATGCTACAAGAATAGAAATCCTGAGAGAATTGCTTGCATTAGTTTTGTTTGCACTAATATATATCATACCACTGTGCAATTAAAACTGTGACCTTTGTGATGTTACATTAAGCTAAGTTTATTTATTTAGCTAAGTTTGCTCATTTTTTACATTTATTTATTTTCTCTAACAACTGGACCTTTCAGACACCCTCTAATAAAAACCCGATAGAATAATACTCCGCTTTTTAAAAAAAATCCATACTCTTGAATGAAATTTCCAATAATTTTAGAAAATTCAAAGTATATTTCACATTTTTCCCTTAGATATATTAAGAAATAAATAAAAAAGCTAAGCTCACCGAGCCAGGTAACAGAGTGGTACATACAACATGTACCACTCTGTTACCTGGCTCGGTGCACACACATGTCTTTATATAATACATACACATGTATTTATATTCGATTGATTCTGCCGATTGCAACGAAAAAGGAAGGTGCACAACTACATGTTGTAGCAGTTCCATGTACAAAATTTCAACATTCTATGGCTACTCGTTCTTTAGTTATGCTAGATACATACATACGTACATACGTATATACAAATGTCAGAAAAGAATTTCTTTTGAATCCATTTACAGTCCCTTTTGGGAAAAACAGTCCTTTGTTCTGTCCATACGTACAGATGTCACCCAAAAGCACCGTTCAAATAGTTTCGAGAGCGGTTGAAATGGATATTTTCGTTGAAATATGATACCCGAAAGTTTTCGTGATTACAATACATTTTTTTACTTCTTACAAGGAAGTAAAAAACATTCCCTAGTTATAAACTCACATCGAGATTTCAATAGCCGATTGTAAGAATTATGTTAATTTTATTAACAGTTAAATTTTAAGTTTCTTTCCTGTCAAATTCTTAACTTCAATTTACTACTTCCGGCCAAAACGCATTTTTGGAATCTTGCTGAATATTTAATGAGGATTTAAGGATTACTTACTGAGTCAGAGAGAATCAGAGTTTCTGATTTACGCGCGTCTGACTTTTTGGCCACTCTCTCTCAAAGCTGTTATTACGCTCGGCCGTACTCAGGCCCTTGCTAAGCATCGTAGTCAAATAAGTTAAGGGGCCAACTCGATTTGAACCTTGATAGCTTCTGCTATACTTCTATAGTTAATCTTAGTTTTAGTTTAATTCTTAGTCTTTTAAGTTCAAGTCCAAGTGCGGGCTTTGCTTGTACACTCCCAGGTGGAGTTTTGTTAAATCTTATTGAAATAATAAAGGGTTAGTTACCCTTCTATCTTGTTGTTTCTTGTCACTGAACTCAAGCGATTATTCGCTTATCAGTTCTTAGATTCTTCACTTCCCACATTAACTTAGAATTACGAAGTGAGGAACTCTACACGATGAAAAAAAGTAATAAATTAAACCCTAAGATTTCAATTAGTGATGACAGGACTTTGCAATGAAGATACAGCAAGTCATCTCAGTCCTGTGAATCTTCACTAATTGATTTGTCCAATTAAAATTTCTCTAGGTCTATGAACAGCTTGAAATGTTATGACGAAAAACAGGTGATACCGCAACGTAAAAGAGCTTTCAATTTAATGGCATGTAGTTAATAAATCTAGTAGGATAGTAAATAGTTACTATCCTAATTATATCCCGGCAATCATCTAAAAAAAATATGCTTAATATGGAATGTGTTGAGTATTTTTAACGTCTTGAACGTGAAGCTTAGCACAATTTAAAGATTCCGCAAATATTTACCAAATCCACAGCCCAGACGACTGAAAACTCGTCTTTTGGCGAATCGCCTAATATCAAAACGAGACGTATATTAAATTATGTATAAAATTCTATACATATTTGTTATTATTTGCAGCTTCCTTTCGCTTTGTATTGTAAAATAAATTAACTAGTGACGTACTTATGCAACTAAATAATAACTTGACAAGAATTGCAAAAATCTTATACAAGGAGGTGCTCAAAAAATAGGTTTAGTGTATTTTAGGTAAGATGATGGAAGCACTTTATGCTTAGATACACATCTACTTTCAGATGATGGCAAAACTTTTATAGGTTATAATTCAAAATGTTTTTCGAAAAATTTATAAAATTCGTTTAAAAGTACATATTTTAAATTCAAATCATAAAAAATGGGCGAATTTTATTTGGAATGAACCTAAATTTCAAAATATGAAAGGAAGAATCAAATAAGTTTAATAAAAAAGAGATATTAATAAATATATAACAAATTCAATTAACACTGAAGAGCTAAAATTTTCAGTGCTAATATTTTAAAAACTACTCGTGCGATTTTTGTAAAACTTGGCTGTTTGGCATAATTCGAGTCGTAGAATTAAAATATGAAAAAAAATTGGCATGTCATTTTCAGAAAAGTCCGATTTTGCGTAAAAATACCTATATTATATAACAATGACATATATAAATCTAATACATATCTTAAGTCGGGATCTGGAGACATGAAAAACGGAAGCTGAATTTCGTCAATTGGCCCAGTAGAACGGGAGATATAGAACTCCCCCCCCTTTTTTTTCCGAAGTGATATACATATATTCATAGGGAGAGTTTGTGTGTTTGTGTTTGTGAGTATGGCAAAGCCTCGAGGGCTATCTGCCTAAGAGGAGGGATGCCTTCGTGGAGGACTTTCTAAGGGGAACTGGCTCGTATACACGTTACACATGGGGAAAACCACGAAAACGCCCATGCAGCCAGCCCGTTCGCGGGATTCGAACCTCGGACCGAACTACCAGTGTTCAGCGACTTTACCGCTCGGCCGCTGGTGGGCCATAGGGAGAGAGAAAGAAAGAAACAAACTAACAAAATATATTAAGAAAAAAAAAACTTACAGGAAAAAAATGGAAAATAAGTTAAAAAGAATAAAAGATGATGTTTATCGTTAAATTTGTTTTGAAATTTGAAACTTAAATTTTTATTTCTGTTCGAACTTGATAATTTTAAATAATTAGTAATTCGCATTGTTGGTAACAATGATTTGCTGATAAACTAAAGGTCGATTAACTTTCTTAATAAATTTAAAAGTCATTAATTTATTGCTAGGATTATTACGAAGGTTAAATTCATTAGATCTTAGTAAATTAAATTAACATGCATATATTATGAATCGATTTATTACATGCAATAAATTTCGTTTTTGCTCAATACTTCACATGCATTCAAACAGGCATTATGTTGTATTACTTTACACAA